AAAAGGTTTTTTCATTTTTTTTTGATAAAGTGCAATAATAATTGTAAAAACCACCTAGACGACACCGAGCAAAAGTGACATTAAGTGAAGAGAAAGATCCTGCGGTGTTCGAGACACACAGATACAGGCTCATCTAATGTAGTGACATTCAAACATCTTTAAGTGTTTGAACCCTGTATATCCGTACGGGGGAAGCGCTCTCAGCCCCGTGCCATTCCCAGTCAGAAACACGAGAAAAGAACTGCGGAAATGCGAGACAGGAATGGAGAAAAGAGAGGCAAAGTTGAAGCACGGCCCCTAAACTGAGAAGTCACGTCCCAACTGTCTGGTTGCCCACAGCAACGAGACATGATGTCACAGGCAGTTGAAGTTGAACTTGAGGGTGGGGGGGCAGAGCTGGTCACTGCCAAGGATTACGGGGGGAAGATGGGATTGCGAGAGGGAGGAGTACAGCTTACAGGGGAAGAGTTACTTGGCCCGAGTGGCTGTTGGGCGGGTGGTGGTGTTTGCGTGACCTGCAAGAGTCAACCAGAACAAAAGTTACCCGCCGCCCCTCCTAACAGAGCCTCTCAGCCAAAGTGTTTCAAGGATTTGACTTCGAGAGTTTTGTAAAACCAATCAGGAGTAACAAGCCCAGCTCTCGCTATCGTCCTGAGCGCATATCAAACGCTCAAGCACTTTTTCCACTTGTTTTACCAGTCAATACGAGGGGTTCAATAAATAGCCTAACAAGAGCTCTTGTGCAAGTACATTTGCCTCACAAGGCAAGGTATGCGAGCAGATTGGATAAAAGCATTCTATTTTTATATAAAATGTAAAGAAATTATATGAAATATATGTAAGGGTATTGTAAATGTTATTTTATATTTAAAATAATATATTTATATTATATAATTATCTATCAGTCAATCTATATATACAAACTATTAAGGATATTATGTAAAATATTAAGTATATAAGTAATTATGATTCTGATAATTGTGAATGTAGTTCATATATACATATGCATTATTATAAAGATATATATATATATATATATACTGCACATATACAATATAATTTTTAAATATTTAGAATATATATATATATATTGAATGTTATAAATGTATTATAGTTATTTTATATATAAAATTACTATAATTATAATTCAAATGATAAAATACTATTTGTAATGTTGTTATTTTATATATTACGTATAATTTATTATATAAAATGTTCAATTTACAGTGTTATATAATATAAACCATTTTGACGCAATATATATATAAAACTATAATATATGAATGTATTATTTTACAGATATTTTTACATAAAATGTTGTGATATTTATAAATGCACATATTATTAGAAATCATTATTAACTCTTTCCCCGCCATTGACGAGTTATCTCGTCTTTTAGAAGACAACGCTTCCCCGCCAAAGACGAGTTTTTACGGCTTTTCGTGTTTTCACTGTCGTGTTACACTAAGGGGCGCTATTACACATCTTCTGAACGAGTACAAAACCTCCCGAACAAAAACACATGTGTACAGGACGGAGAAACTAGCGGTCTCTTATGTAAACAGATGCATATGAAAAATAAACTGATCTTTATTTTGGTGTATTGCATATTCAAATATTCATACAGCAAAATATTCTGGAGGCCATCAAATTTTTGTGAAAATCATCAAAATCGTTGGCAGTGGCTGGCAACTTTTTAAAAAAATGCTGGCGGGGAAAGAGTTAATATCATTCAATAATTATTAAATCCTTATTTTTATAATAGGAATATTAAGAGAAATAAACGGCCATGAAAATATAGAGCACAGCATTAAAGACCATCATCCTTCCTCTAATATGTCAGCTAAGGTTAATTGCGATATTGCTGTTGCTGTGTGGTGTATAGCGTTTTTATTGGCTATTTAGCAGTTGGACTTCTGTACTGACAGCCAGAATCTGTTTATAATAAACAGTCAAATGTGTAGAGATGGATATCTAACTCATTTCAAACTGCTGCCCTTTTGGTTGTTTTTACGTGATTTAAAACTAGCAGTTTGACAAAGACATGAAGTGTTTTTATTGGGAAACACGCTTTAATTCCAGCATGCCGTGAACGCACTATAAAGTTGGTGTAAATATTTCTCCGTTCATTGGCGCTATAAGTGCGATATTTGAACTTTACGAGCCGAGCGTCTGCTGATGTTGATAAAGTCGGTGTGATGGTATGTGGAGATGCGTCAGAGCTCCCAGAAGGGAGGTTTGCTGGTTTAGTTCAGGTCAGACGGTGTTGTAAAGGCCCATATGGTAAGCAGGTCAGCTTCAGAAGCTCTGAGAGTCCAGCCTGACCTCTAGTGCTCACTTCAGTAACAGCAGCATCTCTTCACATTCACAATCTACACCCAGATCCATCCGAAAGTGTCCATACTTTTGAATTCAAGCTTCAGGAATATTGATTACAAATAAAATAACATCAGATAAAAATAGTGATTATATTGAAAATGTTTACGTTTGTAATAGCAGTACATACTGAAACATGCACAGTTACTTAAAGATTCTAAAGTTAAAATACAAAATGTAATTATAAATTCGAAATAAAACAGAATTTTAAATACTCAATAACTTAAATTTACAATGTATTTATTTATTTATGAAAGTAAACAAATTATTAAATTATAATAGTTTTGTGACAATAAATGTAATTTAGTTTAATAAACGTATTTATTTATAGTATATTAAATTATAAAAAATAAAAATGATTAAATTATAGGTCTATGTGACAATAATACATTTCACATAATATATTTAATAGCTTAAATGTAGAAGTTAGTTATATTTTATTAAATGTATACAAATTTTTAAGTTATAGCTTTATGTGAAAATACATTTCACTTAAATTAAAAAGTTAATTATTTGTGTTATTAAATGCATACAAATTATAAACACATTATTTAATTATAGGCTTATATCAAAATACATTTAATAACTTAAAAATATTTATATTTTATTAAATGTATTATAAAATATAAACTAAGTTTGTGACTTGTTTGGTCATTTTAGTTTAGTCCTATATATATTTTTAAATGTTTCATTTTTTATTATTTTTAAACTAAGGCTTTTAAAATGCAATATTTTATAAAATCATACAGTGATAAGTAGCAGATGTATAAATGTAAAATGCCTATAATTGTCAGTTTTTTTAATCCTCAGGCCTTGATAGTACTTGTTATCAGATAGGAAATAAGTCAAATTCTTCCTGCACAGATCATTTTATAATAATCTAATGTTTTCACTGAGCTGATGTATTTTCAGTTTAAACACTAACATTGCCTTTATTCTGTTGTGTGTTTTTACAGTCATGGTTCCTTTGACGAGGTCCTGCCTGCAACCTGTCGACACAATTTGGAAGTTTTATGACAAAAAAAAAATCCTGTTTGAAAATCCCCTCCGACCCGAAACGCACCCTAAGAAACGTGAGCAGCATATGATTGGGAAACGTTCGACCCTGTATTCGCCAACCGTCAGACGCCCTTCAAGCCCGCTCCTCCACCTTTGACAAAGACTTTCAGATCACAGCAGGAGGTGAGGGACCGACACGCACCTACAGCATCTCGCAACAGCCGTCACCAAACCAACGGCAACATAGAGGAGGATGAGAACATGTTACTAGAACAAGGAAGTAGTGTACAATGGCTGGGATTATCAACAGTTTCAGTGGTGAGGATTCAGACACAACAAAAACGCAAGATTTTGACCAATTAAACTGCAGCTTTTGTTTTCAAAACACTTAAACATGCTGACGTTCAGCATACAGGCAACACTAAATAATGAGAGCCCCGGACGTTTTGCAATTTTAGCTAATAAGCATGCAGTAGAAACGTCTTTTTTCCCTTTTGCGGTCAATTACTAAACTAACTACGAACAGCAGAAGTATTGCACTACAGTAATGCGAAGAACACTAGTTTGACGTGCACTATTGAAAATGGGATCGACGGCGGACATTATTTGCACATTTTATTGCAGAGAAAAATTTACCTGGCACACTAAAGCTACCCAGAGACACGTTCTTATTTTCAGGCCTCAAATTGAATTTTTTTTTAATAAAACAAAAGTCCATTTCAGGCACTTAGTGCCAACTAGACAGCACCAGATTTTAGTTAGTACTCCTATAGGATGAATAAAGCCAACCAGCACAACACTTAAGGTGCGGTCACATTCACCAAATTTGTCTTGATGTCTTGAACCTGATGAGAAATCTGCTTGAGGGAAATGTTTCATTCTCACGTAAAAATTCCTGATCACGTGGATCCTTATTAAAGGGATAGTTCACCCAAAAATGAACATTTTGTCATTTACTCACCCTCAAGTTGTTCCAAACCGGTATGAGTTTCGTTTTCTGTTGAACACAGAAGATGATGTTTTGAAAAAGGTGATAACCAAACGGTTGATGGTAGCCATTAAATCACATAGTATTTTTTTCCATACTATGGAAGTCAATGGCTGCTGTCAAAACCTTTTCAGTTTTTGGTGAATTATCTCTTTAAAATGACTAGATTTCGCCTTTGAAGTTTCGCCGATCATTTTTACAGTCATGTGACTGAGCTCAACTATAAATCATTCGTTCGGGGGGATTTTATTCTTTTTTTTTTACGAAAAAAATTGTCCATTGTCAATAGTGTAGTGATGCACAAAGCACCAAATTCGCTGGTCAACACAACTAATTGTTTGACAATCTTGAACCTGATTTGAAATCTGCTTAGTGATTTTTTCTAAATTTGCATTCAAGTGGAATCCTATCAAAATGACTAATTTCCACTGCAAAATTTCGCTAAATGTGACCGCACCTTTGCAGCCATGTGACGGAGTTACAATTTTTAAATTGTTTAAAAAAAAAAAAAATCCCATATAATCATTGCATTCTTTTATTTCGAACTCATTTCTCTCTTTGTTTTAAAATTAAAGCCATATGTCTGAACTTTGTTTTAAATAGTAAAACTTTTAATTAGAAGTATAAAGCTTTATGTAAAAAAAAATATTTTCTAGTGTTTTTTTGTTTTTTTTTACTAGTCCCTGCTAGTCATTCTGTTATTTATAATGGCTGTGAATTAATTTCATCATTGTAGCGAGGCATAATAAAAGTCCCTGATTCATTAGCACTAATAAAGACGGCCCTAGAGACACGCCCACTTCTGTGTTTTGTTTACGTACCTGTTTACACTCCCAGAAATCCGTGTTCCAAGAACACGTGACCTCGCTGTGGAGCAAAAGAATGTGTGACATATCATAGCCGTGCTCAGAGGGAGGCGGGCCGCTCGGACCACTTTTATTAGACGCCGCATTTCATTCACTTCAGTAGATTTACTCTAAATTTGGTAAGGTTTCGGCATGGCTGTCTGCACATACACACACTCTCCTCCGCAGATTGACTACAAAGGGAAGCCTTTACAGTAGGGCGATCTTCATCCGCTGATAAAGTTTTGTTTTTCGACGCAGCTGTAATCGGTAACCTCACAAAATAACTGGACTGCCTGACCATGTATCTCACTGCAGGGAAGCATTGTTGCCGGATGGTGGCCATTTCATCGCTTTGGTAGAAAACTACCACGAGAATCGTGATGGCAATGGTCTTTTCTTTTCTAATCAAAGGAAGTGCCTCTGTATTCCCATTATGCAATTTGTTAAACATGAATTCAGGTTATTTTCTTGCATATAAGCTATAGAGGAGCATGAAATTTTTATGAGAAAAAAAAAACAAGCGTCAGCTCACTAGTAACAAACATCTTTATATATACAGGATATATCCATATATATATTTATATATACATTTTTTTTTCTTATTTGCCTAATAAGCTCAGTGGCAGTCTAGTTATTTTTTGAAGTATGACATGATCATAAATCAGATATTCGTTCAGAATTACCAGTCCCGAAAACCCAGTTCTGCACTTAATAATAATTAGAGTGAAAAAAAAATCAACTGGCGGAAATCAGATTTCCCCGGAAAATGTATCAATAGCATAGTAAAAAAAAAAAAAAAATGCACGGCTTTTGATTTCTTTTGTGTTTGGACAGGAAGTATTTGTTATTGCAAAATAAAGTGTGTTGATTGAGCCATGTGCAATGCCTTGGGTAGAAACTGTGTTTGTCTCATTGTTAGGGTGTACAGGAAAGCGTAGAGGTGAAAATCCTTCTATTATGTAAAGTCCACGCTGTCCGGGACTCTAAACTACAGGGCGGAGAGAGCGAGAGAAAGAGAGAACACAGTCTTTGTACGTTTTGGGAATTCGTTTTGTAATCTTTCCTTTTTTCTGCTTTTTTTAATGTTTATTTGTAATGATTTGTTCTCAAAACTTAGGAGGGCTGAAGAAGTTTTTTGCGACACGTCAGAATATATCACTAAATAAAACAGGTGCTTTTTATGGATCAAAGTACGCTCGATCTCTATTATACAGGAGAAGACGAAAAATAAGTGTTATCAAGACAAATTTTAGAAGGTTGTCCCTAAAAAGTGCCTTTTGTTCACAGACACCATCTTGTAATCCTGAGTGCCCATCTAAAAAAAAAAAAAAAAAAAAAACACAAAAAAATCCCCTCGTTCAAACTCCTGTATTTCTCCTTCCGCGACTTCTTCAAAGCAGTATATATATAGTACTAAAGGAAATCGGTGTGACTTAGTTCCTTTTTATTGTTGAATAATTAAGAAAACTGTAAAAAAATAGAAAAATGACAACAAAAAAAAACGTTCCGTCTTGCTTTTCCTTCCTCTGTAATCTTGTCTTCTGCCTCTTTTGGACACTGGAGTAGTCTATAGTTGCATAACCATCGCCCTTTTCCCTGTGCCCCTTTTCTCTGAACGGAGGGGTTTTAAAATGTAAAGAAAAAAAAAAAAGTGAGAAAAAATATGTTGTCTGAGCAGAATGCAGTTAGCTCACATGTTATTCTTGTCTGTACGCTTCACGTTGTATTCATACCAATCTCTTCAGCTTCTCCATTGAACAGTTAATGTACGTGAACAAGTTACGCCGGTGAGCTCTGGTGGGCCGTCCGACAGACGGGCGTTTCATTACTCTTTCCTTTTTGTATTTACTGAGTGGGGGGGGGGGTTCATTGTGGTCAAGGTTGTGACAAAAGGCATTTTTCCTCCAACCTTTTCTCCGAAGCGATCAAAGAATGTCGACTGATGACGTCCTAAGAGGTTTTACGACTCTTAACTAGCTAAAATGCAGGATTTTTCCGGTATTTTTGACTTCATACTATGCATTCCAGTTTTCTAGGACTTCCATGCTTTGGATCGCCCGAACCACCGTAGTCCTTAACAAACTTCCCGTCTGAACTTCGCTGGCTTTTTGTACATAGAAAATTTTGAATTCGTATGAAAGGTATGACAAGATCTTCCCTGTTTACGGGAGAGGCTTTAACACAGCTCGAATACACTAAAATGGCCGTTGTAAGCTAGAAATTTTGGAGTATGAAGAGAGATGGGAGGTGTGATGTGAATTTGCTATCTTTTATACTTTTAACCTTGTGAATCTCACAAAAACTTTCGAGACATTTTTCTACAGAGCCCCCCGCACATGACACTAGGACAACAGTATATTTATCATAGCCATGAATTAAGAATTTGTTCCCACGTTCTATTAATTAATTCCCTCGCTTTAGTTAAATTGTTGTTACGAATTAAGAATTCATACCCATAATATATCAATTCATTCTCTCGTTTTTATAATCAAGACATTACTACAAAGAAGCCACAATTGACAAGAATGAGGGAGCAAATATGTATGTGGCTACGATTTATGAAAATAATGAAACAAATTAGTACACTGTGGCCATGATTTACGAAAACAACGGAGCGAATTATTACAACATGACCACAATTTACGAAAACGACGTAACAAATGTCATGTCAAACAAACATGGTTATGATTTACGAAAACAAGGAAACTTAAGTGATAGAAACAAATTCTTAATTCGTGGGGATATTTTTTTCTACGTCATTTGTGGGGCTCTGTATATTTCATTCAGAAATCATAAGAAAATAATTGTAATGTCATTTATTTTTGGCAAAATATAAAAACACACAAAATATAATTTTTCTTTTGATTTTGGGGTGAAATGTGATTATTTTCGTAAAGAGATTCACCCAAACAGATTCCCAAACAAAGTCAGCGACCAATCAGAAAGAGTTGAAATTGAACCCCTCCCCCCTGAATCCGCAGCGCCCTCTACTGGCCCCTGTGTAAATGACTCTAAATATTTGTTTTGTGATCTAGTGTTAGACTCAGAGCATCATAAAGGTTGTCCCTAAAAAGTGCCTTTTGTTCACAGACACCATCTTGTAATCCTGAGTGCCCATCTAAAAAAAAAAAGAAAAAAACTAAAAAAAAAAAAATCCCCTCGTTCAAACTTCTGTATTTCTCCTTCCGCAACTTCTTCAAAGCAGTATATATAGTACTAAAGGAAATCAGTGTGACTTAGTTCATCTTTTTATTGTTGAATAATTTAGAAAACTGTAGAAAATAGAAAAATGACAAAAAAAAATAACTTTCTGTCTTGCTTTTCCTTCCTCTGTAATCTTGTCTTCTGCCTCTTTTGGACACTGGAGTAGTCTATAGTTGCATAAGCATCGCCCTTCCCTGTGCCCCTTTTCTCTGAACGGAGGGGTTTTAAAATGTAAAAAAAAAAATGTAAGAAAAAAATGTTGTCTGAGCAGAATGCAGTTAGCTCACATGTTATTC